TCACATATGAGTGGAAGCTAAAAACAAGTAAATAAATCAAGCAAACAAGCAAGCAAGAAGGATACAACAATCACAATAATACCTTGAACTTTCAAAAGATGAGAACAGAACTGAGATTACCAGAGATGGGAAAGAGGAAGAGGAAAGGAGGTAAGGGAAGACTTAATAAAGGGTCGTGAAAATTGAGTACATTGTGTAATGTTGAATATACAAACTGTCCTGATTTGAACATCACATATTGCACAAGGTATTGATATTCAGTGCACCCCACAGATATATACATCAACTATGATCCAATAAATAAATAAATAAATGATGATTTAAAAAACACTCATGAGGGCCGGCCCGGTGGCGCACTGCTACAGTGTGCCACTTGGGAGCGTGATGGCGCTCCCGCCGAGGGTTCGGATCCCACGTACAGACCAGCCGCTCACTGGCTGAGCGAGGTGCGGGCGCAACATCGAGGGTTGCGATCCCATTGCCGGTCCCGGTCCGGTACGGGCATGACACTGAGGGTTGCAATCCATTGCTGGTCACGAAAAAAAGACAAAAAGGAAAAAAATAATAATAATAAAAAACACTCATGATAAAAACAAGAAACAGAAGTATCTCAACATAATGAAGGCCAAAAACTTTATGAAAAAAATGGAATTAAAAGGTAACGTGAATCTTTCCATGAACTTTTTAAAGACCCCTCATATATAAAAAGCACACAGCTAATTCAGTGATGAAACAAGGCAAGGATGCCCACTCTCATCACTTCTTTTCAACATAGTACTGGAAGTCCTAGCAGAGCAATTAGGTAAGAAAACAAAATCAAAATCATCCAAATCACAAAGAAAGAAATAAAATTGTTTCTGTTCATGGAAAACTTGATTTTATATGTAGAGAACCCTAAAGACTCAACAAAACAGTGTTGGAACTAATAAACAAATTCAGCAAAGTTGCAGGATACAAAATCAACATAAAACACTCTGCAGCATTTCTGTGCACTAATAATAATCTGAAGAAAAAATTAAGAAAATAACCTCATTTATAATAAAATCAAAAAAATAAAATACCGAGGACTAAACTAAACCAAGGAGGTGAGAGATTTTACCCTGAATGCTACAAAACATTGGTGAAGGAAATCAAAGAAGACACAAATCCAGGTTTGTGAATTGGTAGATTTTATATATTTAAAATCTTCATATGATCCAAAGCAATCTACAGATACAACGTACTCCCTATCAAAATCCTAATGCTACTTTTTGCCAAAATAAAAAAAATCCTAAACTTTATATGGGATCTCAAAAGGCCCCTAATAGCTAAAACAATGTTTAAATTGAAGACCAAAGTTAGAAGCCTCACATTTACTGATTTTAAAACATATTCCAAAGCTACAGTAATCAAAACAGTATGGTACTGGCATAAAGGGAGACACACAGACCAATGGAACAGGATAGAGTGTACAGAAATAAGCACATACATAATCAAATGATATTTGACAAGGTACCAAGACTACACAATGGGGAAAGGACAATCGCCTCAACAAATGGTGCTAAGAATACTGGATACCTCCATGCAAAAGAATAAAGTTGGACCCTTACCTTACACCATACATAGAAATTAACTCAATGTTTCAAAGACCTAAACATAAGACCTAAAACTATAAAACTGCTAGAAGAAAACATAATGAAAATACTTCATGACATTAGAATTGGCAATGTATTCTTTGATATGACACCAAATGCAAAGGAAACAAAAGCAAAAATAGACAAATGATATTACATCAAACTGAAAATCTGCAGAGCAAAGAAGACAATCAACTAGTGAAAAAGCAGCCCATAGAATGGGAGAAAATATTTGCAAATCATGTATCTGATAAGGAGTTAATATCTAGAATATATAAAGAACACCTACAAATCAACAAAAGAACAAATAACCCAATTAAAAAGTGGGAAAAGAATTTGAAGGGAAATTTCTCAGTGAAGATATGCAAATGGCCAGCAAGCATATGAAAAGATGTCAACATCACTAATTATTAAGGGAATGTAAATTAAAACCACAACGAGATATCACCTCACACTCAGTATTGCCACTGTCCAATAAATAAATAAATAAACAAATGATAGATAGATAGATGATAGA